CCCCACCTTGTATGTCTGTATGATCTGCAGCCCCTCCTCGATTGCCTTTGGGTACACCGAGTGCCACCTCTCACGCAGCTTCTGCTCGTGCAGACACAGCGCCGTGAACGACTGGAACTCCTTCAAGCGAGACTGGTCGCGGTGCTCCCAACCCCTGTCGGCCATGAGCTTGCTGAAGCGCACCGGCGACCCCTCAGTGACCGCACTGGGCGACGACCGACCGCCGGACGGCATCTCGTCGGGATCGTGCAGCGACATGGACGCATCGTCATCGGGGCCACCAGAAGGAGAGGGAGAGGGAGGCGGCAAGGCCAAGACGATAGGGGCCGTCTCGCTCCTCTGCCCCCTGGGGGTTTCCGCTCTCTCCCCCTCGACCCTCTCCTCTGCCAGTCCACGACCTGCCTGGCTTGCCGGCGGGCTGCTGGGCTCCTCGCGCCTCGGTGGCGAAGAGGATGACCGCAGGGGCGGCGAGTCGGCCGCTCTGTCCTTGCTGCCCGCAGTTGGGTCGGACGGCGGCTCCAGGTGCCTGTCGTCGACGCCGAGGAAGGTCTGGAGTGTCTTGAAGATGAGCACAGCTGTCTTGCGGCATGGGATGCTGATGCACTTGTGGAACATGGCGAGGGTCTCGGAGAGCAGCACCAGGAAGGGCACCTTGTGCTCCGTCTGCACGGGCGAGAACCGCAGCTCCGCCGTCCCCTTGCCGTGCAAAAAGTCGACGAAGTCGGGGTTCTCGTGGTGGAAGAGGTAGTAGATGTACAGCAGGTTGAGCACCGCCCTGAAGTCGCGCTCCTGCACACCCGGCTGGGCGTACAGCCCGGCCTGTGGGTCGTCCCTCTCCCTCTCCTGCCCGCCTGCGCCCTCCTCCTTGACCCGGTCCAAGAGGTGCTCCAGGTGGTGCACAAAGCACGCGAACGCGCCCCACTTCTGGAAGAGGCTGCTGGCGGTCCTCATGCGGGCGACCAGGTCTCCCCTGGCGGCGTTGCCGACCGAGCAGCCCATAGAAATGAAGAGGAGGGCGAGTGCGGCATCAGATCTGATGCGCTCGGCGGCGAACTCCAGGAGTTCGAGGCAGTGCGGTATGACGTATCGGAGGTCCTCGGTGCCGATGGTCGAGCAGATGCGGCTGAAGCAGTCACGCGCCACCAGAAAGTCCTCCAGCTCACCCGGATACAGAAACTCATCCAGATGGATCAGGAACGTCGTCTCGCTCATCTTCTACAGACAATCGGACAAGACCTGCGGTCGCTCATGCGAGGAAAACTCAGGCCATTCCGATTTCAGAACCAATGCCCTCACAAGAGTTTCACAGATTGCCCCATCGGCGGCCCTCTTGTCGCATATACACTGTACCTTACCTGTCACCCCAGCTAGCGCAAGTAGAGCTGGGCGGGGGGTGAAGCAGTGAGTGGCCCCGGATGCATTCATTGTTCCGTTAGTGTGTGGAGTGAGTCAGTGAGTGAGTGGGCGTTTGTGGGTGTGTGTGTGAGGGCAGGGGCAACCCAAAGCACACACACGACAATCAATATGTATACTTACAAATCACACATGGGATGGAAGGACGCTCGCTTGTGCAGTGTCTCGAAGCATCAAACAACTGGCAATCTCAAGGACACAGATCTTCGCGGTCGAGACATACACTCGGTCTACATATAGTCTAGTGTGTCTTAGTGTACACAGTGTCGCATCACCAGATGGGCCGCCCCGCCACCAAACGCCTCACGGACACGCACACACGCATGGGTACACACAATACACGGACCAAAGAGACGGACGGCATGTGTGTCTCCCAGCACACCCCAACACACAAACAATAATTGTCGGTCCACCCACTCACATCACAGCAGCCCCTTCTCTCTCTTGGTGCGCTTGCTGGCCAGCCGATCAGCTGTGGCGGCACCAGTCTGCTCCGCCGCCCGCTTGCGGGCCATGCTGCGCGTCGTGACGCCCTCACACGCCACGCCCACCGCCGACACATCGCCACGCTTGCTGCTGCGGTTGTTGTCGACCGCCCCACGGCGTGTGCGCTTGGCCCACTGCTTGGCCGGGGGCTGCTTGTTCTTCTTGCTGTGGGTGTCCTCTTCGTCGCTCATCTGCTGCTCGTTGTTGCCCTCCTCCTCTGCTGCAGGGCCCTCACTGTCGATGTGCTCGGATCCCATCTGATGCTCGCCGATGGTGCCGGTGTTGGTGTCTTCGGTATTGTCCTTGGCCTGTGTGTCGTCCTGCTCCTCATCCGCACCACCTGAGATTGGCAGCAAACCTACAGATACATACACACACCCAATGTGCACGAATCGATCGGCTGACGTCTTTGCCGCGGCACCTACCCGCTCCCTCATGGCTGGCCGGTGACTCTTGCTGCTGTGTGTCAGGTGCCCCATCACCATCACCATCACCCCCACCCTCCTGCAAGAAACACATGGACCACCCAGATGAACGTTTTGCTAGTGTGTTGTGGGTGGCCTACGTCACCTGTTCGTTTCCATCCTTGTGGTCGTCCTTGTTCGTCTCCTCTTGGTTGCTGTCCTGCTGCACACCAGCCGTATCGAAACCATCGCGGCCGCTGCACCGACCAGACACACGGAGTGCAAAGAGGCATGCACTGCACGGCTGTGTTGGCCGTCGCTGTGTGTCGAGGTGTACCCCACTCACCTGGTCTCGTGAAACATGCCGCCCCTCAGTCTCAGCACCAGATGAAGCGTGGATTCCTTCTGGATGTTGTAGTCCCCGAGAGTGTGGCCGTCCTCGAGCTGCTTGCCGGTGAAGATGAGCCGCTGCTGTTCTGGCGGGATGCCCTCCTCCTCCTCCTCCTCCTGAATTGGCCTTGACGTTCTCGATGGTGTCCGAGGGCACGAAATCCAGCGTGATGGTCTTACCTGCATGCATTTATCTACACATGACACACACGAAGCATGTTGTAGACGGACACGTGCAGTGCAGTGCCCACCTGTGAGCGTCTTGACGAAGACCTGCCCGAGTCTCACGTGCAGCACGCAACCGCCCTGGATGCTGTAGAATGCCAGGGTCCGCTCGTCATCCAGCCGCCCTTTGCCAGCGAGAATCAGCCGCCGCCGCTCGGGCGGGGAGACCCCACAACGCTCCTGTATCTTGGCCTTGACGTCCTCGATGGTGTCAGACGGATCCACATCCAACGGCATGCACTGGCCTGCATACACACACGGGCTACAGACTGGTTGTGTGTCTCTGACTGCACCTCTGTACCAATGAGAGTCTTGACGAAGATCTGGAAGGTTGGTTTGGGCTGCCCCGGATGCTGCCGCTCGTCCACGAACATGATGATCTTGCCCTTGGCGGCGGCAGGCAGCGTGCGCAGCTCGCCATCGACCTTCACCTTGAACCACCCGGCCGCCGCATAGACAGGGAGGCCGTCGAGCAGGCCAACAGCCTTGCTGCTCATGGTGTGTGTAGTGTGGTGCGGGGAAGGCGCTGGAACACACACAGACACCGACACACACAAACGACCATTCTGCGTGCATGCACGCAGCCTTCTTGTAGATCTTACACGCTTGCGAGTAGCCTGAGGATGCGGGAGAGCCTCCCGTTGCCAGAATCTGTGTGTGAAAATCTTTGGAGCTCGCAGTCAAACCCTGAACCCCGCAACCCTGTAACCCCATTGTGGGGGCAGCACTGCACTGCACGAGGCATGGCTCTCAGGTGTGTTTGTCTGCAGGTGCTTTGTTCAGCGCACGTTGGAGGGGAGAGAACGAGACCTATCTCGAGAAAGACCTATCTCTCTCTGTCGTTGCCTGTCGTCTGTCTTGTGTCTTGCCGCCGCTGCTCATCTCAATTCTCCCGTCCATCCATCGCTCCAACTTCAGATCCCTTCGGTCTTCTCAAATCCCTTCTATCCGTCCAGCGCTCCCGCCCCGTGGCTTGCATCTATCTATCGTCCCTTGACTCGTTCATCGTCCGTGATGGTTCGCTTCGTCATGATGTCGACTGTCGCCCTGCTGGCTATCGCCGTGGTGGTGGCTGGAAGCCCCGCTGACAGTGTCAAGGCTGCGCCCAATGGACTCCGCTCTCTGCGTGACAAGGCCATACAGGACAAGTAAGAGAAGGAAACACACACACGAGCCCGAACACCCACACGACACAGCAGCGCACCACACACCTGTCTGTCTGTCTGTCTGTCTTGCCTGCTGCAGGTCTGGCGTTTCCGTTAAGGCGGATGAAGACTTCAAACAGCCGGGACTGCGTCGACTCGGTCCATTCGGCATCGCGGTGCCCGAGGTTGAGGATTTCGGTGACCTAGTCGATGCGGCCGAGACAATCAAGAATGTCGCAGAGAATACTCCCCCTGCCCATGAGATCGTAGACGACTACTACCACACCAGGCATACCATTGGAACTGGCAATAAGCATGGCCACGATTTGGGCGATGAGGGCGAACGCCTGGGCGAGAGGTATGGAAGCGCAGCCGGGGCGGCCGTCGGAATGGCTGCTACTGGCAGCTGGGCAGGGGCGAACAAGGGGGAACAGATTGGCCGTGAGCACGGCCCTAGAATCGGAAGAGGTTTCGGCGAGGCTGCGTCGATGGTCGGGCGTCGGGGAAAAGCCCTGGGAAAGGCAGTCGAAAAAAATGCCACTAGTAAAGTACGTGATGCGTTTGGCTTTAGATGAGCCACACGAGGATGCGTGAATGGATGGATGGATGGACGGATGGGGTTCGTCTGACACACATACAATACATGTACTTCACTGGGTGGGTGGGCGGGTAGGTTGTACAACAGACAGGTGTTCGTTGGCTTTTTCAACCTTGGCTTCCCTCTTCTGTCTGCTGAGCTGACTGACTGGTCTGACTGAGTGCGTGCGAGAGCATGCACTGCACGACTGTGTAGGTAGGTAGGTAGGCTGAGATAGATGCCTTCTCTTCTCGCCTTTTACGATGTGAGAGAGGATCAGACGTCCGTATGCAGGTAGTTGTCTGCACGTTTGAATGAATGTATACGTGGAGAGCTCACTTGGAGCCCTTCGTCTGTCTTCGTCTGTCCTCGTGTGTGCCCATTTGATGAATCGGCTGGTTGTACAGGGGTGGGTGTCTCATCTGGTGGTTGTGCCGGGTCGTGTCGTGCTTTTGTGCTGGCAGTTCCCCCGCCTGTCTGACCCCAATCAGGGAATTAGTCGACTCACTCGGAGGGATCATACATGGCTGGTGGGGTGGCTGGGAGGGTGGTGGAGGGGCAGACACAGCGCGATCACACTCATTCATGTGTGTGCACGGAGGGTGGATGGTGGCAAGGGGAGACACTGCATACAGACACTGGGATGATGGCACTCAACACATGAATCAAGTGACGAATCGACCAACATCCCACGACGCACCCCATTGTGTGACCTTGGGGCTGCAGTTGAACTCAACGGGGTGCCTTACCTCCAACGTCACATCCGTCCATTCGCTTATATCGTGAGTCCCATCAACTAACTGATCATCAGCCTCGACCAAAACGAAAAACACATAACGCCTTCTTCCTTCTGTTCGCTTGTCCGTTGAGTCTGTCACAAGAACAGCTTGAGGGCCGAAAAGTCCAGCCCGCTCTCTACGAAGGCTGTCAGGAGTGCGGTGATGGCCGATGCAGCCGCCGCCGTCAGCGCATCACGCTGCATCCGGCTGCTCATGCTCTCCCTCGCCCCTCGCATCCCCGCCCTCCCCTCTCTCATCGACATGAGCTGCCGCCTCTTGGAGCTGTCGAGCGTGTTGCGCATCAGCATGGCGACGGTCATGGGCCCCACCCCGCCGGGCACGGGCGTGATCAGCCCGGCCACCTGCCGCACTGTCTCGAAGTCCACGTCGCCCACCAGCCGATAGCCGCGCCTTTTGCTGGCGTCGGGGACACTGTTGATGCCCACGTCGAGCACCACAGCGCCCGGCTTGACCATGTCGGCCGTGATGAACCGGGGCCTCCCCATGGCCGCCACAATGATGTCGGCCAGCTGCACTGCCGCCCGTATGTCACCCGGCAGTGTCTTGGAGTGGAGCATCGTCACAGTGGCGTTCTCCTGCGCCAGCAGCAGGGCCGCCGGCAGACCCACATGGCTCGATCGCCCCAGCACAACCACCTTGGCGCCCTCGATCGGCACATAGGACCGCTTCAGCAGCTCCACACAGCCCAGCGGCGTGCACGGCTTGAACAGGCAGCTGTCGGGCGACATGATCGACGGCGAGCCGCCGAAGTTCCGCAGTGCGAGGTTGCCGACGTTGTTGGGGTGCAGCCCATCGACATCCTTGGCGTAGTCGATGGCCGAGAGCGCCAGGCGCGAGTCGATGTGTGCGGGCAGCGGCAGCTGGACGATGATGCCATCGACAGTTGCGTTGCGGTTGAGGCGTGTGATGCGCTCGATGAGTTGGAACTGGTTGATGCTCGCCGGCAGCTGCTGTACCTCACACTCGATGCCCACCTCGTCGGCCGCCTTCTTCTTCATCCGCACGTACGTCTCGCTGTCCCACCTCTCGCCCACCAGGATCACAGCCAGCGACGGGGGCCGCACAAACGCACGACGCACCTCGTTCTCCTCATCAGACCTCCCATCCCCCACACGAGGCTTGGACAACAGCCATGAGATCTCCTCTCGAACTTCATTGCGCACTTGCTCGGCCATGGCTCGCCCGTCAATCACGTTGGACGTCCTCGACGCCTCGCCAAGCTGAGCGATGGACGTGCCGTTGGCCGTCTGGAATGGGCTCGCCTGTCGTCCGGGCACTGGTGGCGCGAACGGGGTGAGGGGCGGGGGCATGGCGAGTGGTGTGGGGGGTGGGAGGGATGGGAGAGGGGGCAGAAAGAGAGGCACTGGGCCCAGGGGCGACATGACCACCGGGACAAAGGGAAAGGGCATCTGCTGCAGCGCCGACCAAGACGCCATCGGCATCTCGGGAACATCCGTCACGTTGCCGGCTTGCGACACCACCGCCATGCTATCGTTCCACTGCGACCTCAGCAGCCTCTCATACTCCATCTGCAGGGCTGCCAGCGGAGGCGGCACGGCATTCATGGGATTCCGCACCCATGGGTCGTCGCCAGTGAAGTTGGATGACGTCCGCCTCTCCAGCGGCCTGCCGGGCTCTGTCGCCTCGACAGACGGCAGCAGGTGTAGCGGAACCTGCCCTGCTGCTGCTGACGGCTGTGGTGGTGCGGGAGGGTCAGTGGGGGCATCGCTGTCTGGTGTCTGTGTGGGCCTCTCACGCCGGCCTGTCTGCTCCTTTGGAGGGACGGCACGGAAGGTCTGCTGGGTCGGTGAGGGGGAGAGCGGCTTCAGCGGGACGTCGACGCTGTCTGTGTCGGTCGCACGCAGCCGTGACGGTTGCTCGTCGGTGGGCGAGAGCGAATCAACCACCACCTGGCAAGGCAACGCGGAACAAAGAGACAGACGCATGATCTTGCAAGGCAGATCCCCATCATGAACAGTGCCTTGCTCGTGTCACCACTACATACCTGGTGCGCTGTGTGCCGACGTGCTCTTAGATGCCTCCTCCCACGACGCACAAAGGAGTGACTCACCTGACCACAAACAACCGCACAGACACAAAGCGCAATGCTGCTGTGCCAACAGACGTCGCACATTCACTGCGTACGGACCTCTGCTGCCCTTGGGCTGCGAATGAAGGCGCCTCTGGCTCTGGAGCGCCTCCGAATGAGTGCCAGTGATGTCGATGCATCGCGCCCACCGGCCACATCACCGCACAGCGATGCTGCTGCATGGCAGGTCCAGCCAACGAGCATCTCCCGACCCACCAACAGGGCAGCAAGACACGCCAGCAGAAGATCCCTCATCACCGCGAATGAAGACAGCAACGAAACGACGTCAAGATGGGCCCAATGATGACCTCGCGCCTCATGTGGTACGCCTACACCTTCGAGAGGTAGAGATTCCTGGGGAGAAGCCTTTGAGCTCGCCCACCTTTGAGCTCGCAGGAGTAAAAGGAGAGGAAGGAAGAAAAAGAAGCAGCGACCCTTAGGCTGAGCGGTGAGGGCATAGGTTTAGCACGATGTCGATCCGGGTGCCAACAAAGAGCATGGACCAGGTCCTGCGTGCCAACCAGGAGCTCAAGGTATGCAGACGTCCGTCGCTGAGGCACAGGGGCGAGCACAGGGGGACACACGGGCGGAGACCTCTATGCTGTCTGTGTTCCTGCAGGACCAGAATGACGTCTTCAGGGTGCGGGCATCTGTCTCCTGTGTCTTTGGAGTCGTCATGGCTGCGTTTGTTTCCTCTCTGTTGTGTGGCACTTCAGCGTCGGTTCGCCCAACTCAACAACGAGAATCTGGAGCTGGAGATGAAAAACGAGGTCGGACAACAGCAGTTCTCCCCCCAGCAAGCACCTGTATGGCTCTCTCCATGTGCGCTTCAGTTTCTGTCCAAGCGCATCCGGCAGCTCGAAGCCCTGGACGGCGAGAGGACGATAGAGTCACTGCAAGGTCCGCACACACCAGCCGACACAGTGCACGCGCTGCATCGACCCATGGTGTCTTCCTTTGATTCTGTGTCGCTGTCAGCCGTGCGGCAGCAGCTGGAGTCGGTGCAGAAGGACAAGGCGTCAGTGGAGCAGGCGCTTCAGGTGTTGCAGGGCCAGCTCGAGGGTCTGGCGCAGGACAAGAGCCAGCAGCAGGCGGCATACCAGCAGGCGATGCATGAGGCGGAAGGTGAGCAAGAAAAGGCCAACACACAAGAGGGTTTAATGCCTGCCTGCTCATTGGGTGCCTGTCTATGTCTTCATCCGTCCATTGGTCGTGCAGGCAAGTATGGATCGCTGGCGCAGGAGCACGAGACTCTTCAGAAATCGCGTCAGGTACGCCTCGCCCACACACCCACTCCACGCGATCTTCACATCACGTCACACACGCCACACCGTCGGGTGGTTGTTCTGCCTGCCCTTACACAGGTTGTTCAAGGCGAGTGCACCCGGCTGGCGGGTCTCAACAACGACCTGCAGACCAAGATCACACAGCAGGCAGCGGCCATCGAGGAGCAGGGCAAGGCGAACGCCGCCCTCCGCGCCGCCAACGAACGCCTCACGGCTGACGTGGGCAACCGCGACACGCAGATCGAGCAGCTCGAGACCAAACTCAAGCAGCTGGAAGGTCAGTCGGACAGACGACGACACACACAGGCGGACACGTCCATAAGCTCTCTCTCTCTCTCTGTGTGTGTGTCAGGTGCCATGTCGGCAACTCAGGAGGACTACAGCAACACCAAGGCGAGCCTGCAGGCCGCTGAGCGACAGGTGGCCGACCTGACGGGCAAGGTAGAGAACCTAGAGAAGGAGAAAGCTGCGGCTATGGAGCAGAAGGAACACATCGAAGGTGCGTGGGGGCAGACAGACGGCCACGTCTCACAATTTGTCTCTGATCCCATTGGCCGCACCGCTGGCTGTGTTTGTGTGGTTGTCGCCTTCAGGAGCGATGGGCGAGTTGAGCAAGCAGGTGTCGGAGGCGCAGCAGGCCGCGCACAAGGCGCGCGAGGAGGCCGAGCACAACAGAAACGCCAAAACGGTCAGCCGACAAGTAATACTCACACACAGGCCTATCCATCCACCACACACACGACCCTCCTCGTTGCGTGTGTGCAGGACTTGGACGGCGAGTATGCCCGCCTGAAGATCGAGAACAGCGAGCTGCTCGGAGCCAGAACAGCTTCGGAGGGTGAGCGAGTGGGGGGACTGGGTGGGACGCACAGCCGAATGAATGGATGGCTTCATCACCGTCCCTTTCCTGGTTGTGTGTGGGTGGTGTTGATCGTGTTATGTCGGTACGTATGCATCAGAGGGCCACAAGCGTTTGGAGGAGGAGGCGCAGCAGGCCCGGGACGCTCTCGCGCAGCTGCAGGCACACATCACCTCACTGCAGAGCGACAAACAGGTGAGACATCGATGGAAGCACCGAGGCATACACACGTACATCCGTCGACAGGTCAGTCAGGCGTGATTTTGTTGTTTTCCATGCGTTTGCGTCAGGCTGCCATGTCGGCCCGCGAGGAGCTGGAGCAGAAGTGCAAGTCGCTGCAGGGTGAGGGCATCTGAATGACGGGGAATCCGCCTCCCTCCCTCTGTGTGATGTGTATCATGTGTGCGACGCGTCTTTTGTCGGCAGATGGTGCGTCCAAGCTGGAGGCTGAGCTGGCTGGTGCGCAGAAGGCCTACGAGGACATACAGACACACATGCACAACATCGAAGCCGACAGGAAGGTCAGGAAGGAAAGTTCTTCACTGCACATCTATGTCTTATCCGTGCTCATTCCAATCTGTCTGTCTGTCTGTCTGTCCGTCAGGCTGCCGAAGCCCACCTGGGTGTTCTGCAGCAGCAGAACCAGCAGCTGCTAGGTCAGCAGAAAACAGCCGATCTGCAGACAGACCTGCGCCATGCGCGTGTTGCCTTTCAGAGGGCCACAACCAAACCCAGCAGGAGCTGACGCAGGCCACAACTACCGTAGCCAACGTCACTGGCCAAGTGCAGGCCCTCCAGGCAGAAAAGCAGGTACGCACCGGCACAACCCACCTTTGCACCGAAACGGGCACGAATGTCTACCCCTTCTGTGGTGTGGTGTTCAACCAGAGTTGGGTGTCTGAGCGGGATGGACTGGTCAAGTCCGCGGACGACTTGCGGGAGCGCATAGCGGACCAGGACCGCACCATAGAAACACTGCGCGCAGACAAGGAGGTGAGGAACACAGCAAAGCAGGCAGGCAGGAAGGCAACACCATCAACTCGTCTGCTTCCCTGTCTGATGGATGGATGCTTCAGGCGAGGGACGGTACCATTAGCAACCTTCAGAGCCAAGTCGAGTCTCTCCAGCAACAGTTGAAAGGTGAGCACAAGGCCGCGCTGATTGTCACGACGCCACCCACAAGCCACATACCTACTTGCTGTTTTGTTGTCCTCTTTCCTCCATCAGAGAAACAGGCGGCTCTCGATGCCCAGACACAGCAGCAGCAGCCGCAGCAGGCGGCCTTCCCCTTCCCCCCGCCCCCGCCCCCGCCCCCGCCCCTCCCATTCGACAGCGGCCTGCATGACGACCATGACATGGATGACATGGACGACGACTCACCAGCTCCTGCTGCAGCAGCCGCGGCAGCAGCGGCGGCCGCCCCTCCCCCCAGCCCCCCGCCCCAGGAGGGCCGTTGGTCATCAGGCTACCGCTGGGGCTTCTTCGCGTTCCACAGGCCATCGCCTCCTCCTCCAGCGGCAGCACACATGCCACCTCTTGGCCTCGTGGCCGACAAGGAGGGGGGCACTGGGGAGAGGGCCGCTCCTGCAGCAGCAGCTGCTGCTGCTGCTGCCGCCGCTCCTGCTGGGGGCGGATCTGGGTCTAACGAGTCGGATAACATGGGTGACGTCGGTGAGTGAGCGGGTACAGGAGAAGAGACGAATGGCATGGATGAGTGAGTCCGCTGTGTTTGGGTCAGGCTCGGTGGCGAGCAGTGCGGCGGGCGGCAAGCGGGGGCGCAAGCGGGGCCGACCCGAGCGAGCCCACACACCCGAGGGCAGCGCTGTGCGACGCAGGTGACGTATACACATACACACAAAGAGGCAGACACGAGGTACCTACCGGCCATGTGTGTGTAAATGACCTCTGTGGCTGCTCTGTACATATTGTGTCTGTGTGCAGCAAGCGGTTGGCTGGCGAGAAGCCCGAGTACGAGCCGCCCGAGGACCGCATGCCGCCCCTCCCGCCCGTGCAGGAAGACGACGGAGAGGAGGGACAGGAGGAGGAGTAGCCAGTGATACAGATAGCCACATCATTGCTGACAATGATGTGGCTGACTGTATCACTGGCTACTCCTCCTCCTGTTCCTCCTCTCCGTCAATGCATGAGAAGATGCTGTGTGCCGGGAGGGAGGGGACCTCAGTAGTGACACGTCGGTGTGAGCTGCATGCAAAGCAGGAAGGGATGGATGGACGGCAGTGAGGCCACATAATCCCGTCTGTCTGTCTGTCTGCTTGGCCACCAACTGCCTTTTTCCGATATGTGGGTGAAATACAGGCAAAGTGCATCGTTTTTGATGGGGACTGACTGAGGAATTCACCACATGACAGGCAGGGTGCAACGGAGGGATGGATGGATGGATGGCTGGTAGTGACACGACTTTTGCATGTCCTGCCTGCTGTCTGCCGACTGACTCGACAGTGTGTGTGTGGATGAACCGCTCATTGACATGCAACGCCTGCAGCAGTCTCACTCATCGAACCAACGCAGACAACTCAGATTGGTGAGGTGGAGCGAAACGACACCAAAGCTCCGCTTAATCGCCAATCACAACCAATAAGTCCTAGTACGTTGCGGGCACCACTCACTCGTCAATATCAGCCCTACCCATATGAGACATGAAAACCTTGACGACAGCCATTTTTCTTGCCTTAGCAGAGCACAGCACGGCATACGGATATGTATCTCACTCACCAACTGGCTGGCTGGCTGGCTGATTTCAATCAATTATGCCCCCATGTGTCTCCGCAAGAGGAAAGAGTCGTGCGGACAGTAGTCGTGCAGCTCCACGCTGCCATATGCCGCTCTGTCCAACGACTGCAAAACGAAGGCGACTATGTGTGAAGCGCCGTGAACGACACAGATGCTGCCGGCGAAAAACATGCCCATGAGTCGCATTCTCACGGCTTTCGGCTCCCTCTCGCTCCTGATCAATGGCAAATTGATCACACGAACCATGTACTGCATCCAACGCACCAAGACAAGACAGCCAGCCACACCCAGGCAGATGGTGAGCGAATGGAATTGCCCTTGTCTTTGCGCTTTAATGGAGAGCTATGTAGCTCACGCAGAAGAGTAGGAATTCGAGGCTCATCTCGATAAGCACAAGGACCGCCAGGCCAGCCAGTCTCTCCGCCAACCGCTCGCCAGATGGAAACAACATCTGTATGACGAAACACATACACAGGCAGGTGTGATACTGCAGGTCCACACACACCTGTTCAAAGATGATGGAGCACAAATTGGAGAAGATCTGTAAGTAAGGTGACAGAACGGAAGCATCACGTCCCTGCCTCCCTGCATGTGTTCGTACCAGTGCGGTCAGCTCCGCCAGGCCGTACAAATGGACTTGCTGTACTCAATCAACAGGAAAAGGAGACATACATGGATGGAATGTATGACTCTTCCTGTCAAGTGCTCACGTCGCTGAGTCGACGAAGGAACATAGGATGGTACCCCGCCGTCACGAATTTGGACTGCGCGTCAAGTATCCTACTCAGCTGCGATGCAAGCGACGAGCGGCTTAACATGGAGCGGAGGCGATCGAATGCCGCACTCTTCGAACGGCGGTACGACGCCGCCCTCGTGGAAAGACCACTCAGTGGAGGGCCGGGCTTTCGATCGCTGTTGCTCTTAGCCGTAGCTCCCATAGCGTCCCTGACGTCAATAATGTCGACAGCATCATGTTGATCTTGCGTCTCCCTTTGCTTCGGCTTGAAGCGGGCCACCAGTCGTATGAATAGCCTCCTGCTCGCGCCACCAAGGAGAACGCCTGCTCACGCAAGAAGAATGTGAAGAGACATGACTTGGAATGCAATGTATCGATTGCTTGCATACAATATGGAATCGCGATGTCTGTCAAGAGGTCGAAGCACCTGTCCGAGGAGAATGGACAGGGCAGCGAATGGCAGGGGCCAATATGTCAGGCAGACCTTACCCGAGAGCGACAGATGTCAGGATTTGATGCAGCGAAAGCAATGCCATTTTTGACTGAAGTCTGTAGAGCAATGCATTGATCATGTATATTCGTCTCTCACTTGGGTGCTGCTTACATGCGAGGAAACAAAGCATGCGCAACAGCCCCAAAGGCGAGACATGGTGCTGTCTGCAGTGCTGATCCATCCCGAATAGCCCGATTGGTGGCCGTCACTGATTGATTTGTAAGAACGGCTAGGCCATTTCGCGCACATCAGCATCATCGCAGAACCAACGTACCTAATCCAAGGAGTGGCCACGTGATCAGCAGGAAACCGAATGCCACTCGTGTCCGCTCCGTATCGGTCGTCGCCGTTTCTACGGCCAGAGGCAGGAAAAAGAATTGGCTGCCGGAGACACACAAGCAGGCCAACATCGAATGTTGACATGGGCATTTCGGCTTACGTGACGTGTCCGAGTAACACATTTACAGAATATATCAACGTCAGCTGGATGGAATACGTCATCTTCCTGTGCCGAATAACAGTCTTATTCCTGTGGGTGCTCAAGCGAAAGAAGAGGAAGGGTATGAGCAGCATGACGACAAACACCGCGGGGGGCATTATGTAAGCTTTGTATAGGACTCTGAACCCTTCAAAAAAGTGGTGCACCACTGCCTTTGAAAACACATAGAGTGCGCCAGGCACGAAAAGCCACCAGCACGAGACAAGGCGTCGCAAAGCTAGTCCTCCATCCCCCTCGGCCATTAGGAGTGCGCCGGCGATATAGCCGACACAGATAAGCAGCACACGAACGAAATCAAGGACTATCCACGGCACCCCGCGACTGAAGCTCTTCTACTCACACATCGGCCAGCAACCTTACATAAACGCACAAACATGATGGCATCCGTCGAGATACATCTTCTTTGTTTCCTTGCACGTGAAGTTGGCTTTATCTTACCCACACAGAAGAGCGCCCATGCGATTGCAAAGACCAATGCAGTTGCCAATTGAAAGAGAAGGGCACGAGCGACTCTCCATGCAGTGTTCATGAAGGGCTCGGGAGTGAACGCTATCCCGACAAGCTTCTCTTCGACCTCCCCACTGTCGTTGACTTGCGTCTCGTATCGAAGGGTAGTGGGAAACTCTTCGTACGCCGCCTTGCTGCCTGCCCCCTCGTAGAATTGAGCAACCATCTCTTTAAGCTTCCTCGCCTCTGTCCTCCACTCCCCGTTCGTCCACATCATGCCCATCTGTCGGCGATCCAGGCGATTCAGGCATCCAATTTTCACCACTCCCGTGGCTGGTGCCGCTCGGCTGCTTGCCAGGCTGCTTTCCGACGATTCCGAGACACTCATCGCCTTCTTCGTCGAATGATTCCGGGCGCCGGCCACCTCCGCCCTCGTCGCTCGGCCGCGCTTGTGGGGCCTCTTCGCTCGACTTCTGCCGGTTGCAGCTGAGATGTGGGCCTGAATTTTCTTGCCTCTCGCCGACCTCCACGTCACAAAAACACACAAGATCTGTGTAACCCATCGTCTGCCACTGCGAGCTTGCGATCGGACTGTTGCGTTGTCCATCGGGGAAATGACCACGTCGGTACGGGACGTCGTTGCCTTGCTGGACAGAGATCCGGCAGAGGCCGAGCAAAAGGTCACTGAGATCATCTCGCGCCATCCATCCAAAAGGTCAGGGCGGGACCCACACGTGATCTCATCTGCCTGGTATCCATGTGTGGTGTGCAGGCCCTGTGACGACTCCTTCCACGGTGCCATCCTCGAGATCGCCTCGCAGACGCTGCGGCGGGCGTCCAGCGCCCCGGCCACTGAGAAGCCCATCTACGCATCCATAGCTCAGCAATGCCTCACCACGCTCAAGGAGACCCAGTCCTCCATGCAGGCATCGGCTGCTCGGCAGGGCAAGAAGGCTGCGCCCGCTCCGGTGCTCTCCCCAGTCGACTTGGCGCAGCTGTGGGTGCGTGTGTGTTTCGCCCTCGCAGACGTGAAGGCGGTGAGCAGCCTGTGATGTCACCAAGTCCATGAATGATGCCTCACTGTGTGTTCTCTCCCATCAGAGCGGCGCTGCACCGGAGCTAGTGTCATTCTTCCAGTACCTGGAGCGGCATATCGCACAGCTGCGAGAGCCATCGGCTGCCCCTCCTTGCCCAGTCCCCCGTGTCGAGCCGCCTGCAGAACTGTTCCCTCTCACTATGGACGGCTGCACCGCCACATGTGTGGAGTCGACAGCCGGCCGTGCCGTTCGGCAGAGGCCATCCACGCCACATTGGGGAGACCCTGACACAGAAGACGATGTGAGCAGCAGTGGCACGGCGGGCGAGCTGTGTGAACTGCCGTGCCCTCCTGATGTGGCGGAAAAGCTGCTGACTATCGGATTGCGTGGGGGAGAGGGAAACATGAAGAGGAGGAAGGGTGCGTCGAGCTATGATGATGCGGGAGGTGGTGGCGGCGGCGCCGAGGATGCATATCGGCTGTGTGGCGTCCTGATGGACGGGTGCAAGGTGCTGGCACACATGGTCATCGCTCGGAAGAGGATGCGAGAGCTCCAGGTGGGTCCACATAAAGGGCAGGGCACTCCCATGGACCATTGGACAAAGATGCTCTTTGACGTGATGCCCTTTCCCCTCTCTGTGTTTTATGCAGACATTCGCCATGGTATCTGTCAAGCGCATCTTGCCCCTCATGGTCGCCATGGAGACCCTGCAAGACCACCGACCTACCAAGACCAACACCGACAGCGTCAACTTCACCATCGAGAAGCACCTCATGGCGCCGCTGATCAAGGCGGCGACCGCAGCATCGGACCTAGCTGTGGGCGAGGGGGAAGGTGACAAGTGGGCCGTCGCTTTGGGGTGCGTGTGGCGCTGTGCGTGTTTGGGGGTCTTCCTCGCCTTCTACGGCGGGAGGGAATCTGACGCGGGAGATGAGCGGAGGCAGCGCTTCCACGCCAGCGCCAAGCAGATCGTTCAGGCGATCTACTGGACGGGTAGGCACCAAAAGACAAGGATGGATCGCGAGCTGTGTGCGATGACTATGGGGCCCCTGTGCTTCCCCACCTACAGGCATGTCTCGCGAGCTGAAGCTGTCCATCGTCGAAGAGGCAACATCACTGCTGTGCCCCACCCTTGTGCCCTCCGCCCGCCACCCTCTCGCGTCTCTTCTCACCCACCGTGCCCCCACGGCAGCCCTCATGTACCTCTACGAGACGTTCTGCGGCTTCGTGTCCGAGTACAAGCGCAAGCTGGCCGACCGTCCCGTCACGCCCACCAAGGGGCCATCGACGCCTCAGCAGGCCCCCGTGCAGAGTGCCGCAATGGGGCGGATTGTAGACGCACTCAGACGGGTGTGTGCGGCCGCAGGTATGCAGAGCGGCAACAGCGAGCGGCCCACTGAGGCTTCGGAGCAGCGAGGTATGGTTTTGTGCGCGTGTTCAGGTGCGTTTGGCGATTTGGTAGCTGAGTGTCGGCAGTGCTCGGATGTGGGGTCTGTCGGCGACGTTGAAGAGAGTGCCGATTTGGCCCTGTCCATACTCCGGTTCAGGATGCGAGAGCTCCACACATACACTGGTACACACATCCACCCCATCACGAGGGCAGGCACTGCAGGCAGTGAACTATCTGTACGTTTCTCTTGTATATTTGTCGCGTAGAGGATGTGCTCTGCCGCATGTGGCACGACGACGCTCTCTTCGCCTCCCTCCACACGGCCCTGTCCGCCATCCCCCGACTGCTCGACACCATCCACCGATCCCCCCACATCACCACATCAGCCCTCTCAGAGATCCACACCCAGCTCTTCACCACCCTCCGATTCGTCGGCAAGAGCTTCACCGCGGCCCTCAACAAGCCGTCACAGGGGGCAAGCCGCAATGCCACGCCACCACCACCCACTCAGAGGAGCAAGGGCACTCCTGGCTTCGGGGCCATCACACCCAGGCCGCAGGGAGCGGAGAGGCGGGAGGGGGCCGACACGGACGGGCGGGTGGTGCGAGTCGGTGTGGCCATGAGTGAGGCCTCCGCCGTGTTGAGGCATGCGGTGGGGCGGCTGCGGGGGAAGGAGGGAGGCGACGGCACGCTGGCCGCACAGATCCTCCGGGTACCTAGGAACACTGGCAATCACGAGCAGAAGATCTCGTAGATCTACTTCTTATGGTTACCCTTTTGCCCCTTGCTGTCTGTCTGTCTTTATACAGACAGAGGTAGACGTTCTCGTGCGCCTCGTCGCCAATGTCCGCAATCCACAGCGATCGGCACAGGTAGGGCCCACGGCTACGTAGACGCACATACGCCTTCGGGCTGAGAATCGTGTGCAAATGTCTGTCTGTCTGCCTGTCTGTCTATCCAGCTGCAGGCGCTGCTGGAGAAGACAGTGCGGCTGTTCATGCAGCGGGAGGGCAAATCCCCCACCCCTGCCGACGCAGCCAGCCTCCTCGCACCTGCTGACTCGTAAGACAACTAGACAAACATGCACCCACCAGCAAGGAGAGTCTGATGAGCCAAGAGATGGATGTCTTTCTCATGCTGTCGTTTTTGTCGTCAGTGTGCGCCGTTTGGGCTTCACTCTCAGGGGCAAGGCCTCCAGCGGCCAGTCAGACGCACACATCGCCTGCTTCCGGCTGGCGTACGACCTGCTCGCCTCACTCTGCCTCCCCTCACCGTCAAACGACCACACGCCCCCACTGGCTAGCAGGGAGGCGACGGAGTTCTTCGTGCAGACCCTCCAGACGCTGGTTGAGGAGTCCTACGACCGGCAGCAGTGGGGCGGCATCCACGCCCTGCTCGGCCAGTCGACGTCCTTCCTCGCCCATGCCCTGGCTGACGAGACACACGAGGGACAGATCAAGAAGGACATCAGCTGGATCCACGCGTTTGGCGTCAAGGCCCGGCTGAGGCTCATCGACGAGAAGGCGAAGGGGGACGACAGCGACCTCGCCGACATCTGCCAGTGCCCTCTTCTCGACGCTGTGCGGCAACCCAGTGAGGGAGCCTCTGTTGCCGCGGCCAACTGGCTCGGCAAGGAGCTGCAGCTGTGGACGCACTACTGCGCGGAGCATGCCACCATGAGCGACGTCGGCAAGAGGGCCATGCCGCGGCTGCTGCCCTTCCTCCTTACAATGCACAAGGCCCTGCTCGACCATCTGGAGAGATGCATGAAGGAGACGGTGTCGATGGAAGCATCAGAGAACCTCGCTGGCGCAATGCACAACCAGACGCGCCTGGCGGCATGGCTGGTGCGGGCATGTCCATCCTCTGAGTGTGCCCATGCGGGACTGAGAGCCCTTGATGCCACCAAGAGCCGTCTGCAGGCCGTGATCGACACACCAGTGCGCGGTGCCTCTGGGAAGGGCAGGGGAGGAGCAGCGCGGCCGCCGGCTACCGATGTGTTGAGGCCGCTGCAGCTCTGCCTTGCCCAGTGTCTCTTCCATTACGCGCAGCTCTGTCTCGATCCGTCAACACCCCCCAAAGCTCTGCCCACTGCCGGTGCTGCCAAGGCGAAGAGAGGCAGGGGAGCCAAGAAGGGGACAGCGAAGGGTGGCTGTGGGTGGGAGCAGTGCACCAAGGCCAGTGCAGAGGCGCTCAAGACACTGCAGGCGGCAGTGGAGGCCCTGCATGCAGCTGCGGGGGTGGATGTAGCGGACGTGGGGGCCATGACGGTGGCCAGCTGTCGAGACGGGGTGGATTGTGACAAGACGTCAGAGAGGCACAACGAGCAGCTGCTCAGGTGAGACTATCAGGACGCCACACGCATATAGTTCGTCGTTTTCACTCATTTGCTCCCCTGTCTGGCTGGGTTCAGGGCCTCCCTGGAGCTGGCCTCCTTCCTTGAGCTGCTGTCGACCCCTCCCCTACTCCACACATCGCCAGACGTCACCCCGTCGCCCGCCTCAACATGGAGCCACTTGACGATCGCCACCCTCCAGCTGGCAGCCCGTCTTCTTGCACTATCATGGGCCGATCCCTCGGACGATGACAATCTATCGACTGACCCTCATCGACAGAGGGGTTGTGCTGTGGTGCTCTATCGCCTTAGCATTGCGCTGGCTCATGACTGTGCTGGTGGCGGTAGAGAGGCTATGTGTCGAGCGTGGGAGTGGCTTGAGGCGGCTGAAGCGCTGCGCGTGCGGCTGGAGGAGGGAGCGATAGTGGACGAGGGCAGAGGGCGGCTGAGAGCCGCGGCTATCGAAGCCATGCAGGCACTGGGCCACTGGACACGTGCCAACGAGGTCAGCCAAGGAAGGACAAGGGTATATGTGTTCCATGCCTGATGGCCGCCTTTCGCTCTTGACGTAGGTGTTGCAACTGTATGGCGAGGCGGCCGTTGTCGCACCTGATGGGGGTCCGAGGTCCCCAGCCCCGCCCCGTCCAGTCAACAGCGGCGCCACGCTACGCCCTGTCGACGCGCAGCCGAAGGGAGGCGGACTGACGAAGCAGGAATGCATCCACTACGTCACCATTTCCACACAACTCGCCAGGTACCAAACACACAGGCTGTGACACAACGAGCTGACCGTGACACTTTCCGTCGATCATTCATGAATCTCCTCTTTGGTCTCTCTGTCTGCAGGCATCGCATGTATGTTCAGGGGTCTCTAGGCGCCGCAATGGCCCACGCATTCACCGCGGCCTCATTCGTCACCGGCTTCGGCCTCACCACCATGAGACGCGCCAAAGTCGCCAGTCCACCCGACCAAGAGCCCATCTCCGCCATCCGCCTCAAATTCGACCGGTGGCAGAGCTGGGCGGCCGTCCTGCGCGTCTTCCTGCTCCTCGGCCAGCTGTCGGAGAAAGCCGAGATGTCTTCATACGCCAAGTACTTCTACACCAATGGCCTGACCATGTGCTCGAGCGAGAGCGTGCTGACCAACTGGGCGGCGCACTTCGCGCTGGCCCTAGTCAACCTGGAGCAGCCGCTGTTCCCATCCCCCCTGGCCAGCCCCATCGCCTGGGGAGTGGACCCTGTGGCGACCGACCCGAGAGGAGGCCAAGCAGAGGCCGCAGCTGACGATGAGCCACTGTCGTGTCAAGAGGAGCATGACTCACCTGATGAGGACGACAATAGCGGCGAACGACCGGCATGTTCCAGACTCGAGCCCGCCAAGGTCATGGGCCTGCTGGCCTGGCGGCGCGACAAGGATGGGAGCCTGCTCATGGACGACCACAGTGCGTCTGTCGGCGACACAAGCGCCTGTCCGCAAGTCTGGTGGCCCGGGGACGGCGCGGTGAGCGCCACCAACATGTCTGACGGCCTTATTGGTGCCACGGTCAGTGCCCTGAGGACGCGCCTGCAGCAGCTCCACCCTACCACACCCAGCCTGGCCCGACTTTGCCTGGAGGTGGCGTCCAGGTTGCTGAGTGCCGATGAGAAGAATGGAGGGTCGCTCGAGGGGTGCATCATGACTCTTCAGCTGGCCCACCGTCTCTTGACGCCGAACGAGAGCACCACAGCAGGCTGCCGATGGGAGGTCGACACGGCGGCCCTCAACTCGGTGCTTGAGTCACTGACAGGAACGGAGAAGGGGCAGTCCGCCAGCTGGCATTGCAGCGTCGCGTTGGCTGCCCTCAGCCTGCGGTTGGCCCGACTGCTGTGTCTGGGACCTGCCATTCGCGACGCGGCGCTGTTCCTCATCGAAGCCCTCATGGTGGGGAGGGACATGGCCGTGGAGGCCCTTTCGCTGTCAAGCAATGAGGTTGCCGCGCCACGAGAGCCACCCAAGGCACAGCCGAAGGGCAAAGCGAAGGCCAAGGCCAGAGGGGGCCGCGGTGGACGGGGTCGGGGCAGGGGCAGGGGGCGGAGTGTGTCGCGGACAGCCACACCTGAGAGGAAGAGGCCTACGGAGACCGAGACCCTGCAGCAGGAGACACCAACGTCGCGAGAGGAGGCCTCCCGGCTGTGCGAGTTGCAGTGGCGCGTGCAGTCGCTGGTGCAAAGCCTGTTCCCCGCCGTCAGTGGGTTCATGGTGTCGGCATTTCGAGAGTTCCGCCGCACGCAGCGGCAGAGCAGGCCGCTCGACAAGGACCCGCCCCGTCTGCTCGCCGCACAGGTCGCCCTCCAGCCGTCACAGGAACACCGGCACGCCACGAGTCCTCTTAGCCTCTTGCCCGTCAAGTGGAGTGCTGTCTTCGTTGCCCTCTCATCGCAGGGGCAGTCGGCTCTCACTGTCGGCCGCTACTTCCCCGCCGTCCTGATGCAGACGGTGCTGGAGGTGGTGCAGGACGCATCACAGCCTCGTGTACCTCAACGCAAGGCTGGCGTGAGCCGGGAGGACTGCCAGAGGAAGGGGCCAAACGCCAAGCCACCAGCTGCTGCGCCGAGGGCGAAGCGGCCGAGTCCGGCTGCTGCTCGGTCGCGCAGTGCTGCACCGGACGAGGGCAAAGATGCCGGCAGCAAGGCGAATATTGAGGGGGCGTTCGTGTGCGTCAAGGTGCAGGGGAGCGAGCCAGGGGTCCTGGACAGCTGCTTGCAGAGATATCGGAAGATACAGGTGGGAAAGACTCAGGGAGGGAGGGTGAGAAACGGCGGGTCCGCGAGGCATGGTATGGCATGTCTTCATTTATGTCATTTGTAGGAGGACAACAGCGCGGGTTTGCAGCGGACGCTAGAGATCCACAAACACCACCAGGACAGGGCCAAGGACCCCGAACTCAGCAAACAGTGGCGACACGAACGGTGAGCCGGAGAGAGAAGAGGACGCACTTGCAAAGTGAGGCGAGCAGCGTCTGTCTTGCGTCTGTCTTACTTGCGGCCTGCAGAATGGCACTTGACGAGCAGCTCGGCACCTTGTTCCGGGACTTCGAACACAGCCTTCTCCGTGGGGCCTCATTCCTCTTCACGGGCGTCCCATCACCGCCGTCACCAGCCCCCAAGAAGACCGCCCACAAACCTCCGCTCAAGAGGGCACCAGCAGCAGCACCTGCTGGCCGGCCGCCCTCATTCGCCCCACTAGCTGCACCTGCGGGCGATTGGGAGGCTTGGCGAGAGGCGGCGAGGAAGGTGCTCGGTTGGATCGACGGCGGCCCCTCCTGCTTCACCGGCCTGCATGCCCTCCTTGCTGTCGTCAAGGACCACCGCAGCTCCCCAGATACGGTGCGGCCGGTGCTGGCGGGCATGTGCTGTCTCACGCTGCTTGCATTGAGCCTGCCGCAGCTGGCGTCGTCGGGGGCAGCCGAGGAAGAGGTGACCGACTCCATCGGTGACAGCATCCGGCTCATCTGCGAGAGCGTCATGCCACTGCGAGCGGCCAGCGGCCCCCTCCCCGCTGCATCATGGAAGGACGCCGCCCAGTCCTTCGTCAGTGCAGTCAGCAGCGACCAGTCTGGGGCACTCTCGCGTCGAGGCCCAGTGGTCCTCTTCCCCTCCGCATCGCTGGCAGACTTCCCCTTCGAGTCTCTGCCGTGTCTCGACGGCCAGGCGGTGTCTCGTGGGGTGGCATCGGCAGCCATGCTGGCCACGCTGAGTGATATGCAGCCTCTGGCGTCGCCTGCCGACACGTTGGAGAGGGATCCGGCGGTGGTCAGCACTGTGTCCTCTCCTCAGCAGCACCTGCAGATCCGGCCGTCGCAGTCAGCGGGGTATTTCGTATTGAACCCGAGTGGTGATTTGAGTTGTACTGAGGCGGCCATCAAGCCGTTGCTGGTGCGGCAGCCCAACTGGACGGGCGTCATCGGCGTCGTGCCCGAAAGTGAGGGACAAGGGGAGGTCGGGCCGCACGGTGAATGGCACGGGTGGTGTGTCGGTATGTGTGTTGTGTCAGGGACGGAGATCATTCGTCAGCTCGCCCTGCGAGACCTCTACCTCTACTGCGGTGACCGAGACGCACGACACCAGATCCCACCACGAAACACCCCACACACCAATTTGTCTGCCGTCTTGTCCCGCAGGTCACCAGGGGGGCGAGGCGTATCTGCCGGGCGAGCTGGTGCAGAAGGGCTGGGTGGGCGACACACGCCCAGGACTCGCACAAGAGGACTCTCGGGATGGGAATGCGGCCACTGGGGGCAACAGCAGCGCGTCGCGGGGGTGCCGTGCCGCAGCGGCCCTGCTGCTGGGCTGCAGCTCTGCCCGCCTTGTCCGTAGAGTGCCGCATTTCGAGCCCTTCAGCACGCCACTCAACTACCTCATCGGCGGCAGGTACACATCCCACTCCACATGTCGTCCTTCACACATGGATTTTCTTCGCTTCTCTGTGTGCGCTGCAGCCCGTTAGCTTTGGGCACTTTGTTTGACGTGACGGACGTAGATTTGGACCGGTTCACGACGAGGCTGCTGCAGGAGGCCAACGACGAGGGCCTCGTTGAGGCGGTGGCGCTGGCCAGGCGGGCCTGCCGGTTCAGATACCTGGTGGGAAGCGCGCCTGTGTGCTTCGGGGTGCCTCTGTGAATATATACATAGTCAGTTTAACTGACTGGCCGGCCGGCCGGCCGGCTGACTGTGTGATGTGATGCGTGATGGTGTTTGTTGTTGATGCGGTGCCTGTCTGCGTGTGTGCATTGCATGAGGTAGCAGCTCCAAGGACATTGATTCATGGTATGACAGACACCGTCCGTATAAATGTGAACGTCTGAACAGGTTCGGTCTGTCAGGTCCGTCACGTATGGCCCACACCCCCACACCCCCCACACGCGAAATGAGTCTGCACTCGTGAGAAAATACAGACGAGAAGGGAGAGAAGAAGACAAGTCTATCAAGTCGATGCACGTGACAAGGCAATGTAATTCATTCATCACGACAAGCCCCCGCCTCTCACTAACCCGCCTCTACTCATTCACTCAATCATGGCAAGGCTGGAATTCGGCAGCAAGGGACACAAAGCGCCCCTTGCCGTCGATGTACCCCAGCTGCTGCCACTGGAACTGGCAGTCGCTATTGCCGAGGTGGGTGTTGAAGCCCTTGACCACCCCCTCCACGCCGTGCCGAGCCGCCTCGTCCAACCGGGCCTTGTGCACCACCTCACGCACACCCAGCAGCCGATGCTGCCCGCCTCCCTGCAGGCCCCCATTAACGGCGAAGCACTGCAGGGGCGGCATCGCGACATTGGTGCTCTCCGCGTCTCCGTCCTGCTGCCCGTGCCGGCTACCCCCGACCACCTGCCGGTTGCTGCTCGTCCGTGTGGCAGCCCGCCTCACGAAATGCGCCACGGCAGCACGCACACGGCGCCTGAGCAGCGATTCGCCCATCAGGTACTCATCGATGGTCGCCATAGCTGTCGAGGGCTCGTGCAGGAAGGACCCGACGTACCAGCCGATGGCCTCCGCCTCCTGTGGGCCGAACGAGAGGTTGGAGGGCGATGGGTGGGTGGCGTGGCCATCGTGGTGGGGCGCCAGGGGCAGCAGACGGGCCAGAAGCATCGAGTAGTCGCGCTGAGGGGCGAGGGCGGCGTTGATGGCAACCATGACCACATCGGACAGCTCGTTGAGCACCGACTTGTACTCGGCCAACACCAGCTGCCGACGACGGTGCTGCTGCTCGGTGGCCATAGGCAGCCGGGCGATGTCTGCACCCGCCCACAGCAGCACACGGATGGCGGTCTTGAGGTGGGGAATCTCGTTGGTGGCTTCTGTCTTGTCTGTCTCGTCCGCAGTGTCGTCCTCCTCCAGCTGAATGTTCTCATGGAGCCATTCGGCAGCGATGCCGAGGGGTGTGAGGGTGGGGTCATTTGGCCTCCCTCTGTTGATGTCGGCAGACGGGAGGCGGCGGCACAGGGAGGCAGCTACACGGTGGTTCCCCCACCCTCCCACCCAGTGCAGTGGCGTGTCGCCATCGTCGTCCGCTGCCGTCATGTCTGCCCCATTGGCCACCAACAGGTCGAGGTAGCTGTCGATAAAGGACTGGGACCACACGAGAGGGGCGCAGGCCACCCAATGCACCGGCTTGCCGCCATCATCTCTATCAGTCTCGGTTGCGAGGGTGGGGTCGCGATCGATGAGCTGCTGGTAGAAGGACAGCAGGGTGGCCTCGTGGTCCTCGGTGGGCCGGTCCGTGTCCAGTGTCCATGGCACCCGCATCACCTTACGGCCCCCCAGCTGTCGCCCCTCCTGTGCCATCAGCAGTCTGAAGGCCTTCTCATTGCACGCTCTGATGGCCACGCAGATGGGCGCGGCGGCCGGGCAGTCACGGCCGTCCTCGTGGGTCGGGATGGCGTTGATGTCCGCGCCTCCTTCGATGAGTGCCAGCATGACGCCCTCCTGCAGGTCGGGTGACGGCCAGTGCGGCAGAGCGACGGGACAGTCATCATTGCCGTCTGCTGCGAAGATGGACGGCACGCTGTTGTCCGTGAGGTTGTCGATGCACAGGGACAGCAGGGGGTACTCCATGGGGTCTGTCCTCTCCCCCTCCACACGCAGCCGAGGGAGTACATTGGGGTCGGCTCCCCGCTGTCGAATGAGGTCGGTCACCTCCTGGGCTCGGGTGAAGGTGCGCGAGAGGATGCCCTCGGACAGCTGCCTGGTCGCATCACTGGTGTCGTCGGGGAATCTGATGTCAGCGCTGCGTCCGACCCAGCCACGGGGCACACATGCATCAGTCGAGCCTCCACTCATTACTGCCTTCGGGCCACATCTGCATCACACACAGACAGTATCCCGTTTTTCATGCAATTTCTCTCATTGCGTACCTCACTGGCCACGTGAGTCTGCCGCATCAGGTCCGATGCTGATGCTGATGCGCACCGACACCTCCATCAGTAGAAGGTGAGATGGAAAGCAACGCCGATTGGTTGGTTGGTTAGTGTGTTTACGAGACTCGTGTCTGTAACCCCGGAGGGATCCTGTTGTCTCACGCACTAAACTAGCAGCATGTACATGCAAAGCATGCACACGGCCTGTCTACCCTTCCCTGCACTGGCACCGGCGGACAAACAGATGGCAGCAGAGAGCACTGGCTGCCTTGTAGAACGTTGACAAACACCGATTCCGGCTACATACACAAGAACGGGCGCTGTCGCCCAGCAAGAGCCATGGCAAGTGTACAGAAGCCAGAAGGGGGAAGTGGAAAAATGAGCGCTCTCTGAGCCACCAAAGCAACGATCAGCCAATCACATGAATACACCACCATATACACACGGGACCCATAGGGAAGGAAGACAGGAAGACAGCAGAGGGAGAGAGAAGGAAATAGCCAGGCAGGCCATGATACCCTGCAACATATGATAGACGATACCTAAGGTGCACTCCATCCCTTCACACAGCACTGAGTATGATGCCACAGTGGCGCCTGTCTACTTGTACGGTAGTGAGCTGTGGGCGGGCACTAACTGTGATGCAGTACGGTGTGATCTAAGTCGATAGGCACTTGGCAGACACATGCACAGGAAGTCCTGGCTGGGCTGGCAGAGGAAGACAGAAGGCAGCTAAAGGGGAGAGCCCCGCCGCGGTAATGAGCAAACAGACAGACATGCGGCACTGGCTGAAATGGCATGAGTATGGTCGCAACAGAGAGGCACGCCGAAGTCTAACCACACGCGCAACCATGCACACGCAAAAGAAAAGACATCATGGCGGGCAACGACACGTGATAGGCTACCGCATAGAAGAGACCACACCAATGACAAGACATCACCAGCCGCTTCACCCCTACCACCAAGCACTGCCGAGAGAAAATGGAGTTTTTCGTGGGTTGTAGTAGGGTATGAAACCCTTGAAGACTGGAGAGGGCAGATCTTTCCGGCGGGCGCAACCATGGTCTGCTCTCACTGATGAAGCATCATGAAGCCTCTCACTGATGGACTGCTCTTCCTACTGGTGCTGTCCCTGAGCAATGCATTCCAGCGCCCCGCACCAATCAACGCTCTCACGACAAGGCTGCAGCGACAGTCACTCATGCCGTCGAGGGCACCACCGCCTCCATCAATCCCTCAGAACATCAGCAGAAGGCGGGCAGACGACGAGATCTTGCATGGAAACAGCTGGGATGGGGCGGTGCGATGGATGTGGAGCGGCCTGATGATGCCTTTACTGCTGGCCATGGTCATGGTGGGTGCCCCCCTTGACGCTGACGCCAAGCTGAGTGCGGAGCAGAAGATTGTGGCTGAGGCATGGCGAGTCACCGACAGGTCAGACAGGAGGGAGAAGGGGACGCTGACGAATGCCCTGCGTATGGCTTTTCTGCTCTTGGTGCAGGTTGTTCTATGATCGAAGCTTCAATTCCAAGGACTGGTATGGCAAGGCAGCCCAGCTGTCATTGGTCCAGCTATCTGTCATTCTTCCCTCTCTCTGTTCAGGTTCGCCCTTCGGCAGAAGTACGTCCGTGACACGTCCTACGCCAGCCGCGACGAGGCCTACAGCGCCATCAACTCCCTCCTGCTGCAGCTAGACGACAAGTACACTAAGTTCCTCACACCGGACCGCTACTCAGCCGCGCTAAACACCTTCAGCGACCGGGCCGCAGGCATCGGTGCGTCGGTCAAAGCATCATCGCCATCATCACCCAGCGCAGCAGACCCGCCGCAGCTGACTCTGTCGTCGGTGCCGCCCAGCTCCCCCGCTGGCCGGGCAGGGCTCAAAGCTGGCGACATATTGGTGTCGATCAACGGTGAGAGCGCCAAGGACGTCAAGGAGGCGGAGGGCATGCTCAAGGGCCCCATCGGAAGCACTGTGTTGGTTCGCGTGAGGGAGGGGGCGGCAGGGGACGAGAGGGCCGTGAGGATCGTGAGGGAGGAGGGGCAAGCCGGTGAGCTCACATGCTCAGTGGAGACCAAGAATGGGCGGAAAGTGGGCGTCATGCGAATCGCAAGATTCTCCGGTGAGACCAACACCACGACGATCGGCGAACCGTACGCATTTGTCTCTGTCTGTCTGTCTGTCTGTCAGAGAACATGGGACAGGAGCTGAGGTCAGCTCTCGATTCGTTTGAGCGTGACAGGGTGCAGGGGCTGGTGGTCGACATCAGGCAGAACAAGGGCGGCTCATTAACCGGCGGCATCGAGGCTGCACGGCTCTTCCTGCCCAGCGGCAAGACCGTCGTGTCCGTGGCCAGTAACAGGGGCGCCAAGACCGACTACGCGTCAGTCCAAGACGGTGAGTGGGGGGAGGGAGACATCAAGACACACGCTGGAAGACAGTCACGACCGACTGATGACGTGGGCTGGGCATCTGTGTGTGCAGGTCCAGCGGTCAAGCAGCCGCTGGTCGTGTTGGTTGACGGCTTGACGGCATCTGCTGCGGAGGTATTTGCCGCCGCCATCAAGGACAACGGCCGGGGCGTGCTGGTGGGCGAAAAGACGTACGGCAAGGGGGTCGTACAGACACTGCAGGTGGGTGGGTACTAGATACGCTGACAAAGGCACACAGAGGCATCTCGTCTTCCATCTGTCGGTCCGTCTGTCTGATTGGTGCAGCCCCTCCAGAACGGTGCTGCGGGCGCCCTTGCGGTGACGACGGCACGCTACGAGACGCCCTCGCAGACCAACATCGACGGCAAGGGCATCGAGCCCGACGAGTCAATCACCTGCCCGCCCGAGAGTGCTGCCATCAGCTGTGTGCCGGCCAAGGCATTCGAGCGGTCCTGACGTCATGACGTGTGCCGTGTACTGTGCAGACAGTGAGAGCGATGGTGTTCATGTCAGTGTTGGTGTCTGCGTCGCCCGTGCGTTGGTCGATAGAGAGAATGACCGCGTGTATGTGTGTGTTGAAGGCATGCACACGGGGAATGTCAGCAAGGGAATCGGTGGATGTAATGCATCGATGTGTCATCAGGTGATGTGAGATGTGTGCCGCTTGGTTCTGTCTCATGTACCTCCTGCAGGGCCCAACTCCACGTCCTGACTGACTTGGAGTTGGACCCTGCGCGAAGTCGCACCAGCAGACCAAGTTACGCCACGCCAGAAGGGACGCGTCCGTCACGAGTACAACCGATAGCGAGAGACACACAACAGCATTTCAGATCCGCAATCAACCTACTCGTCCGCTTGATGGACAAGCTCACTCACAGAAAAAAACCGTCCGTCCAGACACGCACAAAACCTAAGCACATCACATGTGGACTCCACTTGGTCTCCAACAACACACACACAAAAACACACACCAATGACCAACATCAACCAACAGGATCTCGCCATACAGACAGACAGACTAGGAAAAGCCCCTCATCCCATCCCACTCGGGCGATTGATTCATCTTGACGAGTGTCACTTTGCGAGCACGGGCATCCTCCGGGCTTGCCTCGTCGACGAGACCACCATCAGTACCTGCGGCATGCCGCCATCTATGTGTACGTTGAGGCCATCGCGGTTCACATTCGACACGCGCACACACCCATCGCCCTCGCCCCTCCCTTGTCCATCTCCCAGCAGCAGGTCGCATACGGTGATGTCGCCGTCGCGTCTGAAGGCGTCAGGCACGTTGCTCGGCGGCAGAGTGATGTCGAGCGACTGCCCGTCGCCCAGGTTGGACGTCACTATCAACACGCGCTCACCACTGCACACACAGCCCAACACAACACAGACGTCCGCATGGTCATTCATTCTCTGCCTGCGTCCCCGTCTGTCTGATCTGACTGACCGTGTGAAAAGGTATATGTTGCTGAGGACCCAGAGCTCTCGCTGTGTGCCGTCGAAGAGGCCCTGAGTGCGCAGGCGGGCCAGCCGGCTGATGAAGAGGAAGAGGGGGTGGCTCTTGCTGTAGCCCGTCCGCCACAGCGGCTGGCGCTTCTGATTGTCCGCACCACGGCTGCCGTCAGGATCTGCACATGTGTTCACACGACATCCATGTGTGTGTGTGTTGGTGTCAATCCATCAATCAATCACCTTGTGTGAGTCCCTGCTCCGAGCCATAGTAGACGATGGGCACGCCGGTCGTGGCCATGACGAGGGCGAGGGCGTTCATGTAGAGGGCGTGGGACGGGTTCATCTGCAGAAACCTGCCCTCGTCATGGTTGTCCACGAAATTGCCCAGAGCAGAGGTGCCTTCACCCCTACAGAAGCTGACCACCGCGTGTGTGTGAGATGACTTGACTTTGGCGGATGCGGGATCAGCAAGGACAGCGAGGGAGGACGTGTGTGTGGGTCGCGCGGCTTCTGTTGGAAACCTTGGTAGGGTAGCCACCCTGGGAGAGTGCTTTGTAGAACACATGGGGGTCTCTCCAGCTCACAGATAGGCCTTCATGGATGAGCCACAAACACTCTGCTAGGGCATCCCACAGGATGGCCGATTCGCTGAGAATGGGCAGCATCTTCCTGAAGACAAGCAGACACAGACAGAGAGAGATGTCAGCTGGGGGGCCTTCTGGCTGCTTCTCGCTTCGTGTGTGGCCTCTCTGTGTGTGAACCTCTCTGCTGCTGTTGTATTTTGTGAGAGGGCATGGGCCGTTAGCGAGCCCTAGCACCACTCAAGCTCGCTTCTGTAAACTCTCTCTGATTTTAGGGCTTTTTCCCATTGCAGGGGGGCGGGGCGGCGGCTGATGTGCTCATTTAAACCCTAGTTATGCGTAGGGTTTGCGAAATTGGTGAATGCGCGTGTGCTGCAGCGCGTGGCAGACAGACACACACACTCATACACAGGCTCATGTCAACAGGGGGCCCGCGCAGCGAGGGAGGGGTGGGAAGGCCTGTGTGTGCAGTGTGTGTGTGTGTGTGTGTGTGCGTGTGTGTGTGCGTGTGTGAGGGTGCGTGTGTGTGCCATCATCGCCTGCACACGCGCACCCTCAGCAGAAGGGACTCATGACGGACGCTTGATGGACAAGCTCACTCACAGACAGATAAACAGACACCGTCCGTCCAGACACGCACAAAACCTAAGCACATCACGTGCGCACCCCACTTGGTCTCCCACAACACACACACAAAAACACACACCAATGACCAACATCAACCAACAGAATCTCGCCAAACTACAGACAGACAGACTAGGAAAAGCCCCTCATCCCATCCCACTCGGGCGATTGATTCATCTTGACGAGTGTCACTTTGCGAGCACGGGCATCCTCCGGGCTTGCCTCGTCGACGAGACCACCATCAGCACCTGCGGCATGCCGCCATCTATGTGTACGTGGAGGCCATCGCGGTTCACATTGGCCACGCGCACACACCCATCGCCCTCGCCCCTCCCTTGTCCATCTCCCAGCAGCAGGTCGCATACGGTGATGTCACCGTCGCGTCTGAAGGCGTCGGGCACGTTGCTCGGCGGCAGAGTGATGTCGAGCGACTGCCCGTCGCCCAGGTTGGACGTCACTATCAACACGCGCTCACCACTGCACACACAGCCCAACACAACACAGACGTCCGCATGGTCATTCATTCTCTGCCTGTGTCCCCGTCTGTCTGATCTGACTGACCGTGTGAAAAGGTATATGTTGCTGAGGACCCAGAGCTCTCGCTGTGTGCCGTCGAAGAGGCCCTGAGTGCGCAAGCGGGCCAGCCGGCTGATGAAGCGGTAGAGGGGGTGGCTCTTGTTGTAGCCCGTCCGCCACAGCGGCTGGCGCTTCTGGTTGTCCGCACCACGGCTGCCGTCAGGATCTGCACATGTGTTCACACGACATCCATGTGTGTGTGTGTGTGTGTGTGTTGGTGTCCATCAATCCATCACCTTGTGTGAGTCCCTGCTCCGAGCCATAGTAGACGATGGGCACGCCAGTCGTTGCCATGACGACGGCGAGGGCGCTCATGTACAGGGCGTGGGACGGGTTCATCTGCAGAAACCTGCCCTCGTCATGGTTGTCCACGAAATTGCCCAAAGCAGCGGGACGCCTGCACAACATGGAAACGGATACACACCTCTATGAAGCATCGTTTCAGTGTGCCGTCTGTGTGTGTGGTTGACACACCTGTATGTCCCAAACGTCTCCTGCAGTGCGCTGCTGAGGCCCCAGAGCGACTGGCCGCGCGCAAAGGAATTCACCAGCGCAAAGTACAGGGGATAGTTCAGAAGCTGCAACAACACAACACAACAAAACACAACAAAACGGGACAATCAGTGAGTGTAGAGTGCGCGGATGACGCTCGATGCTCACGCCATCTAGAATAGGCCCGTACTGTGCGTCATACTGATAGCCCGCCAGGTAGTCGGCCCCTCTGTTGCCGATGAGGATCTCACCCAGGGTGTACGTGCCGTTGCGCCCGCCGCCGGCCAGCCTGTCCGCGACCCTCTTCCAATGCCACTTCGGAACATAAGGCACAGTGTCATATCGGATGCCGTCAAAGCCATACTCGTCCACCTGCCGCACCACCCAGTCTGCCAGGTAGTCGCTCACAAAGCCGTTCTCCGTGTTGAGATCCGGCAGGTCCACCAGCCAGCACCGCTCGATGCTCCGCTGGCTGCTGAAATCGATGGTGCACCGGGGGTGGTAGTGGTCTTGTTCTGTGAAGGGATGGCCGTCGGGCACCTTTCCAGGCCCGTTGTGGTTGGCCACCATGTCCACCATCACATGCATGCCGTGGCTGTGGAGCGTGGCCGTGAGGTTCTTGAGGTCAGCAGCGTCACCGAAGTGCTCGTTGGTCCAGTCCCAGTCAACGGCCCAGTAGCCATGGTATCCGCACGGTCGGTTTGCAGGGATGGGCGATATCCAGACGGCATTCATCCCAAGATCTTGAATGTAGTCGAGCCTCTCGATGATGCCGCCATAGGTGCCGCCACAGTAGTTGCCGTAGGGGCAGTTGCCGGTGTCGCATGTGTCAGCATGGCCGTCGGCGAGAGCGAATCTGGCACACACCACACAGATGAACACGCACACACCCCACGGATCAGCATCTTACCTGTCAGTGAGCAGCTGGTAGATGACCGTCCGGCTGGTCCAATCGTCCACAGGGGCTGCGCTGACAGACGCGATGAGTAGCAGAGTGGTAATGCAGCAGCGCACCATTCTGGACAACCGCATTGGTTGGTTGGTTATTGTGTTTAACGAGACTCGTGTCTGTAACCCCGAGGGGGTCCTGTCCAGGTCACGCACTAAACTAGCAGCATGCACATGCACAGAAGCATGCACACGGCCTGTCTCCCCATCCCACCCACCCACCCACCCACTCGACACGCACGTGCCACCCTATGATGGTCAG